GCAGTTCTAATCTCTATTGCCAAAAGTGAAGGAAATCTGCCTTCTCCATATTCTCTTGTTCTTCTCCCATGTCCAAGATTGCTGTTTTAGCTTCTCCCTTGCACTAGTATTACCAGGCTCTTTTTGTGACCTGATTTAAGTCCTGAACACAACAGTAGTCCAGTCATTTATGCATGTATTTTGCTAGTTTAACAAATCCCTGCCTGTCATTGCTGTGAGCCAGATCACACAACTGTGTGTTGATAATCTTGCAAGAAATCATCCTGTGATTATTTCCTCAGTATCACAGGGGAACACATTAACTTGTAGGACTGTTCCCTACAAAGAATCACAGCATAGGGGCCCACAGCATTTCCAAAACCATCCTGCAAGGTCAGATTTCAAGAGCAAAAAGGCAAAGCTGCTACCAGAATACTCTGCCAGAGGACTAATGTCCCAATCTCACTTCCAGCCAAACCTACAGAAAGATCTTCAAATGGGCATTAATGAGTGGCGTCTGGACCCTAAAGCACATTTGCTATTTAAAACTGCCTAGGACCCAGGAAGAAGTGATTCTGCTTTGCCTGCTTCTAGAATTTGGGCACTTTCTGTAACAAAAATGAAACTACCCTACCCATTTCCAGGGATCTGTAAAACTTGGACTATGATAGGTATTTCTAGTACACTCACTCTTAAAACTACACCAACCATTCCCATGTTAGCATGGGGGCAAAGGAGAGAGAATCAGGAGGTTCACCACGAGATACCACCCCAGGGAACAAGTAATGAGAATTCGTGGAGCAGAATCGGTGTCATCTCCAAATGAGAACTGGGAGGAACATAACGAAGTCTTCCACAAAACTAGCCACAGCATATATTAACAAACAACTTGCCGTTATCCCCACGGATAGCTTGCTTAATAAAAAAAGGCTTAAGAAAGTAACAGTAGCAGAACAAGCCAACGAAACCCGCAGCCGTGGCTCCTCTGCTCGATCGCCCGGGCTGCAGCACCATCTCGTGGAAGCCTTGCGACCCCGCAGCCGCCCCTGCCCTTCCCGCCTGCAAAACGCTGCCCCGCTCCGACCTTTTCCTACACAAGGAACTCATTAGCTATCTGTTAGCAGACAAGGAGGCAAGCAATCTTAAATTAGCCAAGTGTGTACCATACTCTCAAAACTGGTTCCTCCCCCTTTGAAGGGCAAACGCCTTAGCCCTTGTGTCCGGGGCGGCAGGTGGGATTCCGGGCACCCCGAGAAGCTGTGAGCTGGCCCGTGGCTGTCGCCGCTGCGGACTCCAGCGAGACGTGCTGCTGAAAAGCTCTTAACAGGCCCACTGCAAAATACGTTTCCCCAAGGCTGCAAGAAACTACCCTTTCTTTTCCTGCTTATAGGAAACAACTGAAATAATTTCCAGTTCAAGCTGCAGCAGCAAATACACACTTTCTTATTTTCCTGAAACTTCATTTATTTCCTTCCGGCAGAAGCCTGGCTGTGTATCAGATCTGCCTGGGGCAAGGGTAGGGATGGCCCTTGGGAACGGTATCCCTGACAAACTTCAGCCTGAGCTGCAATAAGACAGGGTGGGTATTAATGGTATTGAACAATCACTAACATAAGGAATAGCAAAGGCTCTAACATTGTGCGAAATATACTTTTCCAGTAGAATACTGTTTTCTTCACACAAGTAATTTTTAACACCAATCTGAAGAAAATGAGGAGTTCCATGAGTGGATCAAATCACCAAAGCCTTCTAATTTAGTCAATTAATTTCTTAATTTGGTGAATATAAAGAAAAGCAGCTGTATGCTTTATTTTATATGCAATTTTACTTCCTGTGAAGTAACTGAAATTGCAGGTACAGGTACAATAGCAAAATAGCTTCTAGATTTCAGTAATGGGGTGGAGAAGACAAAACAAACAAGAGTCTATAGAAACAGAGTAGGCTTTTTAGAAAAATATTTTGCTAAATACCTTTTGAAATTCTATGACAATCGTACCCTTACTCTAAATATAAAGAAGTAACTTTAAAGTTATCTCTAAGATATTTAGATTTTAAATATATAAAACCCCCTCACCTATACACTGTAGAGTGTTATTGCCAAGACCTGTAATTCCACGTTATCAAACGTTAGTAAACTTTTCTATAGTGGTACAACAAGGACCATTACCTATTACTGAAAGTTACAAGCCACAAATTGAGGTTATAGTTGTAAAACACAGTGGAAGTCAACAGTACAAAGGATGCTTTATAACAACCTGAAGCCACCTATCACAGAGAGAACCTCAGAAGAGGATGAATATGAAGATATGTCTCATGACTCCTTTGTATTCATCCCCATTTGAAAGAAAGTCCATCAAGAGCCAAGGAGGCTGCAGGCAGTGATGGTGTGAAGATCACTTCTGTCACACAGGATCAAGCCAGTTCTGGCAGGTCTGTAATCCTGGTTTCTGTACTGTCAATGAATATTTACAGTCATGCATAATTTACAGTCACCTTATTTTCCAATAGGAGTATTATTAATCACATTCATCTCAAAGACAGAGGAAAACTCCACCACAGATGAGCAGGAACCTTTGCAGAAAGCTTCCTGAGGTGTGCTGAACTGTTCACTACCTGGTTCATTAGAAGGGGATGTAGTTATAACAATGAAGTATGAGAGGAGCTATTTGCTTCCTTCACAGGTGGAATAAAGTCTGTTCACTAGTGAGGTGAGATGAATATAATTGTTCTCTTACCATCTGCACAATTAATTCTGTTTACAATGTTAGCCAAAGAAATGGGAAAGGCAGACTCGCATTACAAGGGGTAATAACACTCCAGAGGACACGGATTAAAATTGAGCCTGGATAACATCAATTTATAAGAAAATTAATTTGTACTTATTTTTGGAAAGTGTTCTTTGAGAACTACATTCCAGTAAATCTTGTTCTCCTACTGGTTCTTAAGCAGTATATTAAATTGTCTATGCAATAATGATAATAAACTGCCTATGCAAGGCATTTCTTTCTTTTAAATGCTATGAAACCAACATCCTTCAGCTATGAAAACAGAATGCCTATTTCAACGTGCACTGGATAGACCAGCATAACTAGCAAGTAACTAGGATACAGCCTGATATAGAGATCAGTGAACAAAGCACAAAGAAACATGAATTTTAACTCCTAAGCTATACAGTAACCCCAAAGCACATGTCCCAGCAAACATTAAATATTCTCAGCATCAGAGCATTCTTTGAGCAACAGTGCCAGAGCATCAGCTGCGATCCCCAGGAATGACTGCAAAGACATCAGGTGCAGGGGTCCAGCTAACAAAAAGCAACAGAAAACATACAGTGCAAACATTTCAGATGTTTTCTATCAGCACACAAAGGAATTTAAATTAAATTAGAATGTCTCAGATATTAAGTTATTTTAAGAATGCACACAATTAAGTAATTTAGGTGTTACGCAATAGGAATTTAATCTTTTGGACCACTGGCCTTATCCAAGTGATACCCTTACACTACTTGGTTCTAAACCAAACAATACCACAGACTTTAAGAAAATCAAAATCAGAAAAAAAAAAAAAAAAAAAAAAGAAGATTAACAATTTA